TCGACCACAAACCGCTCCTGGGAATCATCGTGGGAGACAAGCCGACAACCCCATTCTGCCACCAAGAATGCTAAGGTGGACTGAGTTCCTCGCGGTATATGACTACCAGCTACAATACAAACCCGGGAAGACCATCGACCACGCCGACGCACTCAGCAGATGCCCGCTTCCAGAACCAGTGGAAGACCTGGCACCAGCCACAACCACCCTGCTGATAGAAACCATGGAGAACACCCAGATCTTGGCTAGGGACATCACAAGAGCAACAGCTAAGGACGGGATGCTGGCGTGCGTTTTGAACTGGGTATGGAAGGGATGGCCTGGGACTATCATAGACATGGAGTTCAAACCGTTCAAAACGAGACAAACAGAACTATCAGGATTAAAGGGGTGTCTATTGTGGGGGGATAGAGTAGTCATCCCAAAAGCATTAAGGAATGATGTGCTAGACCTGTTGCATGAGGGACACCCTGGGATAGTAAAGATGAAGTCATTAGCAAGAAGCTATGTCTGGTGGCCAGGGATGGATAAAGAAATAGAGACTTGGGTATCGACTTGCACACCATGTCAGGAATCCCGGCCAGCACCACACGCCACGCCCACACATGACTGGGAGAATCCCAGGACACCATGGTCCCAGATACACATAGATTTTGCCAGGCCATGCCTGATCATGTTCCTGATCATAGTTGATGCCTACTCTAAATGGTTAGAGGTACAATTAATGACATCAACAACATCGGAGGCGGTCATCAGGGTCTTGCGGAAACTGTTTGCAACACACTACCCGACCTGATAGTTTTGGACAATGGACCCCAGTTCATGGCGAACCAGTTCAAGATGTTTTTAGCCAGCGTGCTTGCTTCGGCAGCACATATACTAAAATTGGAACAATACAAGATGTTTTTAGCCAGCCAGGGCATCCGACATGTGCTATCTGCCCCAGGGAAACCATCCAAAAATGGTTTGGCTGAAAGGATGGTGAGAACAACGAAGGAAGCCTTAGCCAGACTGGGATCAGGGGACATACAAGCGAGGATAGATAAGCTATTGACCATACAACACATTACATCAGGTGCCACCACACACAGAAACCCGTGGAGCTGCTAATGGGGAGAAAGCTACAATCCCACTGCACCCCCATTACAGTACAGAGAAACCAGTCGATTCGACCAGCAAAATTAGACAGTTCATAGTAGGGGATAAGGTATACGCTAAAAATTTCAGCAGAAACCCCTTATGGATCCCCACAAAGATAATACAAATCACAGGGCCCCTATCCTACAGGTTAGAAACAGAAGATGGGTGAAATTGGAAGAGACATATAGATCAACTCAGGGCCCGACTAGTCAGGAAAGACCATGAAACACAAGTAGAGACTCAGGGGAGGAGAGCAGAAAACCACACAGAAACAGACCAGCCCTACACCAAACACCACCAAGCGAACAACAAGAACGACTCTCAAACCCACCAGAGGACAGCGAACACTTATCTGAAGTCCAGGAGGGAGTCACCAATGACTGCGACAGTCCACCGTTCCAGCTGGGGGGAGACGGAAGGAACACCCAACAGAATAAGTCCACACCGCCAGCAGCAACAGAGTTTGAGAGAGTTCCAGAGGCGCCTCCAGGAGAGACACAGAACTTGACCTCTCACTCCAAGAGTGCTGGAACAACTGAACTGTGCAGGTCCAGTCGCACCCCTAGATGGCCCGCCTACTTACGTGCCTACGTGTCTTGAAAGACTCCAGGATTGGTTGGGGAGGGGTGTTGAGTATTGAATGACCATTCAAACGGACCAATTAGAATTAAATAAAAGACGCAGAAGATTTAGAGGAACGTCAGTGGCTGAAGCTGCGGACAGCTCCCTTTAAAAGGGGCTGCTGCGGCTAGGCTTTTCCATTGCTGTACTGGAGCTAATAAAAAGCTGTTACTAAGTCACTGTCTGTGTCCTTTCTGTACCCACGATCTTGCAACCTGAATGGTGGCAGGCACCTGGCCACTCTGCAGGCCCGGGGAGGGTGGGAGTTTGAAGAACAACTCTTCAAATCTTGGTGGATGGAGAAGGCCCCAAGGATCGGAAACCTGATCTGGCTCTTTATCGGGCTCACCCATCTCATTTGCAAGTGGGCCATGACCAGCTGGGCATGGGGCAGGCGGGGCGGCTCCCGGGGAAACGCAACAAATGAGTGGTGAGTGTCAGCTGCCCCCTGCCTTCCTCTGCCTGATAATTCTTTCCTGAGTTAGCAGGCAGAGGAAAGACTGATCACAACCATATGAGGCGGGTGTTAAATCATAACACCCAGGCCAGGATGGGCGTGCAGGAATCATTCTAGCAAAGGAGTGTGGGGCCTGGATTTCCCCACTTCCAGAGAGGCCAGGAAAGAGGCCAGGCTGCCAAGCCATGCCAGGCCCAGGGCTGTAAAGTATGGCCCTCACTCCAGGCAGAAAGCAGCCCTTGTACTGGCAGGAGGGGAAAGATGATCAGGGCTCTGCTGCGTAGCCAAAATGTTTGGCCTGGCCTCTGACTGGGAGGCAGCATTTCCCTCCAGCAGGCAGCCTGGCTCCCTGCCCTGCTTTCTCATTTAAGAGAGATCCCCGCTTGGCTCGGCTGCACCCCATATGCCCTCGCTTCCCCCAAGCATTTCTTTGCTAACCTGATTTCTAGCTCCATCATGTTTCTCCATCGCATTTCTCACTGTCGTGTGCAGGGAAACCAAAGTTTGTGAGACTAAAAAAAAAAGTTCAATCAATTCCAACTTCATGAGATTTTTTTTTTTTGCAAGAAGTTGGAGTTGATTGATTGAACTGTTTTTTTAGTCCCACATACTTTTATTTCCCTGCACATGACGGTGAGAAACACAACAGAGAAACACGATGGAACTGGAAATCAGGTTAGCAAAGAAATGCTTGAGGGAAGCGAGGGCATCTGGGCACCAGGTGTTGAAATAGGCCTGTCTCTCTCCAGCAGAGGGAAGGCTGGCATCTACTAGCATTTAAACATGGTGGCATTCCAGCTCTGGCCAGGAAGGGGCAGCTGCCATGGCGCTGCAGGCAGGATGCCCGCTTGCTTCAGCACCCTGCCCAACCCTTTGGCACTTTGCCAGTGCTTTGGCCCTGGTCTGCTGCCTTATGCGCAGGTCCCACCCCACCCCTGCTGCCTACTGTAAAGTAAGACATCCCCCCAAACACAGTAGTTTTTGCCTGTGTGACATGATTGAAGACGCCGCGTCTCCATTTGGTTTCCATCACTCCTCTCTTGGACTTTTGAGGAGGGTTTTTTTTCCCCGCCTGGAAGGAAGTTGAATGAAAACCAGATGTGTTCTGGAAAACACAGATTTATCATAACTGGTTTGCCGAACTCAACAAAAAATTAGGTATCGGTTCTGCCAAACCCGTGTGAACTGGCTGAATCCCACCACTGGATAAAGCAATAATAGGAACATAAAATATGATTTCTATATTTATCCCTCTAATATACAAGTCTCAAGTCTTCCTACTTCCTACTTTTAGGCCTGGTAGTTCCCCCAGCCATTAAAGGCCAGTTGAGTAGTGTTCCCACCCCCATCCCCGCCCCATGGCAGTTTACTGTGCACTTTGCCACCATTTTAGATTTTGTATTTATACTGTATACTGTCTGCTCATTGTTATGTTGTTTCGTTTTGATTTATTGCATATATCTTATATCCTGTACCCTCAGATTCACAATGACTGAGTTGGACAGACTTATACATCTTAAAATTAAAGAAATAGTTAAATCATCTTTTTTTTAAATTCAGTCAGTCAGAGAATGACTGTTGCATTCTTGTTGCAAAAAATTCAAATTGTGGTAGATCAGTGATATAAAAGCTTCTAAGATACATTCTCAGGTTTATTATACAGATTTGAATAGATATTAAGACATTGAAAGTTTATGTCATCAAAGGAACTATATAAATAATCTACATTTTAAAGAGAGATAATAGTCTTTTAAACATTTTTCTTCTTTAAATTATTTACCAAGATTCAAACACCATCTTTCAAAAATGTTTGGGATAAAAACAAGTAGAGAAAAATCAGATCTTTGCATTATTTAATTCAAATTTAGTTTTTTGTATTGCTCTCTGTAAATTATATAAACTAATATAAATGGTAGGCCTCCAGCTAATTGGCATAAGCTGACATGTAATTTAAAATATTTAATTCCTGAAGGAATCAGCTTTGAAACAAACTGCATCAGACTAAGATAATGCTTGGGAGTCAGTAGAGATTCTCAGTCATCCAGGTCATGGCTGTCCCAAAGGTGTTTATTCTGGAAGGCAACTGGACTTCCTGTTTTTTCTTTGAAGACGTTTCACTTCTCATCCAAGAATATATATTATATATTATTAAATATTATATAATATAAATCCTTCCATTCCCCACTATCCTGTCATAGCTGAAGAAGCTTCTTGGATGAGAAGCAAAACGTCTTCAAAGAAAACACAAGAAGTCCAGTCCTCCAGACTAAGCACTTTTGGGATAATGCTTGTATATTCTGACATCAGTGAGGAATATTAGAGTATTAAATAAACGTATAGCTAAATTGTTAGTGCAAGCTTAATAGAAAGAATAAATTAGATTTATTCTTAGATTATTAAATTATTAGTAATTAGTTAGATTATTAGTAATAATAATTAGAAAATGCTGTTGGTTCATAGAATACATTGTAATAATTTAAAGTGGTGAGATATAAAGAAGGAGGTACAATCATAAAGAAAGAAGAAATACGTTATAACAGATTTTCCTGAAAGCAATTACTATGTATTTGCTGTGTATTATTGTGACAGTAGAAATAATAAATTGGAGTTCTATATTTGTACTCTACCCTTCTACCAAGAACAGAAATAATTTGTATAATGTTTATCTATGTATATCTCTGTTTAGGAAGATTTAGACTGTCTGTTTTTATTTGATTTATTTGATTTCTATAGCTAACCATCCCAGCAAGCGAATGTTCTCTTATTCCTGTTTTCAATATAGGCAATGATAATTGCTTTTACATCGGATATGATTCCACGCCTGGTTTACTTCTGGTCATTTTCAGTCCCACCCTACGGGGATCACAGTAGCTGTACCATGAAGGGATATATAAACAATACTCTTTCTATTTTTGCTGTATCAGATTTCCGAAATGAAAGCAAGCCACATGTTCTTCCTGTATTTGCCAATTTAACAATATGCAGGCAAGTCTATATCCTGATTAAAGATAGGAACAAAATCAGTATGCCTTTGCTTGTTAGGCTGTGTAAAATAATGGAAATTAAAATTGCTAGAAAAAAAATCAAGGTCTTTTAATTCAACACTATTTTTATTATCTTACATAGTAATATAATAGTAGCATGATGAAATTCTGCAACTCTGATATGGTTGTATATTTGGTTGCAATTTATTCTGATTACATTTACTTATATAGTGTGTTACCTTAAAACCAGAGCAACAGGAATCTTTTGCTCCCCCTTCTGGTCTTTGTACATTATTGCAGAGACATTTGAAATAATTGTTTGAATTACTTTCTTTAACTATGTTAGATATCGAGATTTCCGAAACCCTCCTGGACATAAACATCAATATGAACATAATATTTATTACTGGCATGTTATTGCAGCCAAGTTAGCATTCATCCTTGCGATGGAGGTCAGTATATTTATTTCTAAATCTCCCCCCCCCCAATATTTGGTATTAAAAGCCCTGTCAGTATCTGTTTTATATTTCTTACAACTATCCAGTTTCACTTTCTCTATCCTTGTATGAACCTATCACAGCCTATTCCTTCTGCCAGCCATCATAGATTACCATATACTATCAGTGAAAATTATTAATAAGAGCATGTTATTTAAGGGAACACTACACAATCTTGCAATTAGGGTGTCTCCAAACAATTCGTTACCCACGCTTACTGATGTACAGATTCTATTTAATATAATTATAAAAGATGGCAAGTAGGATTAAACATGTCAACTCTAATATCAATTTATAACAGACATGAATGTATGTATGGAAATATTCACTTGTACTTTGATCGGCGCTAAATTCAATTCTATACTTTAAGCATTATCTCTGACATCATTAACTCTTCATCTTGTTTTACTATCATTTTTAACCAGATTACTCCATCCATACTTTTCTGATTCTCACTATCAATTTTATGTTCTCTCTTTAGTTAAAAATGGATACTAAAAATTTGCAAAGATATTTTTTTATTTAAATGAAAAGACTTTAAATCATTTAATTTTACCTTCCCTGTTCTTAAAGATGTATGATACAGTATATGCACTTTGTGAAAAAAAAGTTCAATGAGGATATTTGTATTTTTAAAAAATATTTCCTATGTTGTATTATCCTAACAAAATGGCAATGGTTCTTCCATATAATTTTTTAGGATAAAATTAATTTCCAAATAGAATGCATAGGGATGGAAATAGAATAGGGATGTTGCCTTTTCATTACTTTTGTAATGACTTAGAAGGAAAAAGCAAATCTAATTTTAATGTTAAGGAGATGGCATTAGAATGCTATGCCCCCACACCCTATGCCAGTAGTTTACTAGTAATCAAGTGCTGAATTAATGGAACAGAAATTACCAACTAATTAACCTCTTTTTTAAAAAAAATCATCCTGCAGCACTGCATAAAAAAATATTTCCCTTTTCAGTTGAGCTGAGACAATTGCTCTGTGGGGTACATTTTGTTTTTTTGTCTGGAGATCAGATCCTTCTATCACAATGAATTATAAGAAACAATTATAAGATACACCTTTCACATTAATCAGAGAATTTTAAACTGGGGCATATCAATTTTGCTGTTTTTTCCCCTCCAATAATACTTGTTCATTGTAAGAAACTGATGGTCTTTCTATTGACTTTTTTTCAGCATGTTGTCTACTTTGTGAAGCTTATCATTTCATATACCATTCCAGATGTGTCATGGAAAACTAAGAGCAAAATTAAACGGGAGAAATACCTAACACAAATACTTCTTCATGAAAATCCTCTAAAAATTATTTAAAAAAATATGGGGAACATTGCTGACAAATTATTAAAAGGAGCAGATACCACTTTATGACCTAAATGTGAATAAATGCTAGTTAGTTACAACATCTAATAATGAGTGAAATATTCTATGAAATCAACAGAAATTGGATTAAAAATTTAATAGGTCAATACCAGAAGAGAAGAAGTAAATATTCATAAATAAGTTTAACAGAACGTATAATTTTCATATGTATCGTATATTATCACTCATACATTCTCCTGAGTTGTTTTCTGGCTTGGAAATTTCCTCTTAAAAGTCTTGATATATATTATTAATCCACCCAACCCAACATCCTCTTAGTTCATGAACTTCTCTAGTTGGAAAAATCAATTATGTGTTATTATTTCCATCTTCATATAAAATTTTATTTTGTATTTCAGGGTCTGTTGGACAGGAGGAAAAGAGTAGTTGAATTTCAAGTCAGTTTTCTACTATAGTGGGATATATGCTGTCATATGAAATCATGCAAAAATCTCTTGGAGCAGTATGAAATAGAGCACAATAGATAAAGATGCATTAATATAAACTGACAGATGACTTACTTAAACTAGAAAGAGACATATATCTTCCAAATGTTTACAATAGAACCTTGTAAAAATGAGTTACAGCAAGTTTGACTCAACTATTATTCTAGTGTAGAAAACGTCATATAAGAGCTATGAATTTATATTCAACCTAACAGTATTTTATTATGTTTACCGTATTTCTGAATTAGATGTAAGGCAGTGTGAAAGAAAACACCTGCAGATCTAAATTAGGGGGTAGCTGTGCACTTTCTAATATATAACAAGCATTTTATAGAACATAGAAGATAGGAAGACCAACCATCTGGAATTGTGCCAAATTATCCAGATTTTAAAATTTAATTTAATTTAATTTAATTAATTCAATTTATATGCCCTCCATCCACATCTACTCTGTGGCAGATTTTCCTTTTGTCAACCATTGCAGTTCGGCAGTTCGAATCCCTAGTACAGGTCTCCTGCATGAGCAGGGGGTTGGACTAGATGACCTCCAAGGTCCCTTCCAACTCTGTTACTGTTACTGTTTTGTCTGCTGTCAGCTAGCTTGCTTCTTGCTGCCATAGAAGAGGGGAGAGGGATCAATGAAGAATTTTTCATTGCAGTTTTGCAACTACTCTTTGCTTATCTCTCCAAGGTCAGTTCTTCTAGTGTTGATATGCAGAAGCCCTCTGGTTGCCTAGGTACAAGAGAGTTGGGCTGTACAGTTTGTTTCAAGTTGCTGTTTTCGCATGCTTTGCCTGTTTTCATGAGCTTCCCCAGGGATGGAATTTCTTGCTTTTGGTTCATTCCTAATAAAAGTACTTTTCTCTAATTCTATGGAGCTCAAGATTTTTCTTTCCTAGAAATTGGACAAAGGCAGCCCTGACATTAGGCAAGCTCTGCTTTAATGCTCAACCTGGAGACAGCAGTCTACCATGGGGACCAAGCATCCAATGTCCAACCATGGGACTGAGCTGGAAGAAACTGGAACTATGGCCAACTTCCCCACTAGACCACACTGTGCTTGAGATGAGGCAGAATGGCGAGAGGAGCTGGACTTCAATGTGAAACCCAACAGGTGAGGGGGAGTTGAAGAGCCCAAGAACCTGTTGTACAGACAGCTACCCAAGGTTCCTGGTTCATCCCAGACCAAGCTGCACAAGCTATTCTACCTGCATGGACTGCTCCTCAAAGGCACCAGAACCCAAAGGTCCCAGCCTTGGAGGTTAAGTATGGGTTAAGTATGAGCAACTGGGATTTTTCCTGGTGCAAGTCTGGAACTACATGCAGGAGTATGGAGCCAAACTGGAGATTGGAGAAGCTCAAATAAGATGGGTAACCATGGCTCTGGAGGGTGCAGCAGCTGAGTGGATGCTCTCCCTCCACAATAACAATGCCTCCCAACTGTGGAACTATGACCGCTTTATGGCAGCCCTTCGCCAGTGGTTTGAGGATCCACTGGCCAAGCACAAGGCTCAGATCTGGATAAAGATCTGAGCCATCGTCCAAGGGCGATGGTCAGTGGCCATGTACACCAGTGGTGGGATTCAAATAATTTAACAACCAGTTCTCTGCCCTAATGACCAGCTGGGTAGGCATGGCTAGGTGGTCATGTGACTGGGTGGGCATGGCCAACTCAACATCCCTCACCACGCCTGGCCCCACCTCCCAGCCACTCACCTCAAAGGCATCAACAAAATACAATCTCCATTTATTTACTACTACTGAACATCACTTAACGGTGGCAAGCAAAATCACAAAACGGAGCAAAATTCACTTAAATCTTGCTTAGCAATGGAAATTTTGGCTCAGTTGTGGTCATAAGTCGAGGACTATCCCTAATGAGAATGTGTAAGAATGCAACCTACAACCACATACAACCATCACTCCCCTTTCCTTCTATTTATTCCCCAGTCAGGAAGGGGCCATTCAGCGTCCACATGTGCTTTGCTTTCCGAGTCGACTCCTTCTTGTTCTCATCTCCTAACAGCTCTGCGCATACACAGGCCACAGCTGTTCTTCATCCCCATCCCCATTTATCTCAGCTTCCGAAGGCAGCTGCCTCTCCGGAGGCTGGGAAATGTTGGATGGCCCTGGGTCTATCTCTGCTTCCAAAGCAGAGCATCCATCAGAACTGGCCCAAGTTCCTCCTCAACCTCCTGATCGTCCGAGTCTGCCGCCAGCTCTGCTGGCAGCTGGCAGGCCCCAACAAAAGGTGAGCTCCTTGGTGCCAAAGAAGGGGCTGGGTCACCACTGAGGCCGGCCCTGGATGGGCAGGTTTCTCTCCCCACTGGCCAAATTTTGCTATGCACTCCATGACCTTCTGCGAGGCGACAGCGCATGGGCAAATCCCAGTGGTGCCATGAGGTGTGTGCGTGTTTGCTCTGTGTGTATATTTAAGGCCAAGAAGGAGGAGAAGGTCCCAGAGTGCATTGCGAATTTCGGCCATTGGGGGAAAGACCTGCCCATCCAGGGCTGGCCTCAGTGGTGACTCAGCCCCTTCTTAGGTCCCACAGAGCTCACCTTTGGGCTCATCAGGGTGACTTTTCCCCACCAGCACTTTGCTGCCCCAGAGTAACAAGAGGCCGAATTTCACGATATGCTCCGGGCCTCTTGACACTCTGGGGCAGGAAATGCAATGTAGAGGCTGGCACAAAGAGGAACAGGGAAAGAGGAAAAGCGCCCTCCTTCTCTCACACTGGCTGCTCCTTTTCACCCCCCTCGCTATCAAATTGGATCCTGGGTGCTGTGCTGCAATGGACATGGCTGGCATGAGGCTGGCATGAGGGAAAACAAGGAGCAGGGAAAGAGGAAAAGCAGCCTCCTTCTGGCTGCTCTGTTGCCCATTTCTCCATTGCAGCGCAGTGTCGCGAAGCTGGCCACACCCACCCAGGTGCCCTAGTTTCCCAAGCATTTATTTGCCTGATTTCCAGCTCCATCACATTTCTCGCCAAGTTCTGCCTGCAGCGCCCATTCTGGCTGCCCCTTCCCAGCCAGAGCTGGAATGTCTCTGTGTTTAAGTGCTGGTAGATGCCATCCTTCCCTCCAGTGGCCCTGGGCAACTGCTGAAGAGTGACTGGCCAGATGCCCTCGCTTCGCCCAAGCATTTCTTTGCCTACCTGATTTCCAGCTCCATTGTGTTTCTCTGTCACATTTCTCACTGTTATGTGCTGGGAAACAAGTTTGTGGGACTAAAGAAAAAGTTCATTCAATCAATTCCAAGATCTTTTTTTTTTTTTTTTGCAAGAAATTGGAATTGATTGATTGAACTTTTTTTAGTTCCACAAACTTTTCTTTCCCTGCACAATGGTGAGAAACAAGATGGAGAAACACGACGGAGCTGAAAATCCAAGGCAAAGAAATGCTTGGGGAAAGCAAGAGCATCTGGGTGGTGGTAGGTGGGACAAGCTCCACAGCGCAGTGCCACAGTCGTCCATGCAGGCTGGGAAGGGTGTACCTGTGGCAGGCACCAGCAGGGCGTACTTGGTGAACTGCTCAATGAACTCATAAGGCATACCCAAGCGGCAGACACAGACCAGGAAGGTGCAGGAATGCTCAGGTGCAGGAACGGCAGCAGCTGGGAGGAGGAAGAGGAAGGACACTGGGCCAGACCCACGGAGGGAGGGCTGCCCCCCTGCCCCGCCCCCCTGCAGGCCACCATCTACAAAGGAGTGCGGAGATGCCAAAATGTCCTCAGGAGAGGCTGGCCAAGGCGAGGAGTGCCTGGGAGGGGAGGGGAGGAGAGGGGAGGGGAGAGGGGTGGGATCAGTTAGTTCTTTGAACTGCACACAAACCTACCAGTTCTCCCAAACTAGCTGAATCCCATCTCTGATGTACACACAGGAGTTCCAAGAGCTGGCAGGCGAGTTAGGCACATGGCCCAAAGACATCCTCATTGACTGTTTCAAAGATGGCCTCAACAACAATGTCTACCACACCTGCATCTCATGCAGGGCCCACAAACTCTACAACACTGCTATGTGTTGGTGAAGGAAGTGGAGATTGACTTCACCTAGGAATGATGCTGGAGGGCCGGCAGATGGGGCAAGTCCACCTCTCCCACACATAAAACACACTCCAGGACCACAATGTGCTTCAGATGTGGGAAAGAAGGTTACCGAGATGCAGCATGCTGACCCAGCAAACCCAACCTTAGCGCCACAACAACTTTGAGGGAGGAGGCAATGAAACCAGTTCCGAAGACCTGAGAAACAGGGATGAAAGGTCTGGAAGTTATAGAGTTTGGCCCTCCTGGTTCTGAGGGGTTGTGAACTCCGACCAGCTTGGGTGAGACTGAAAGCCACAATGATGACCCCCTGGTAAGTTGGTGGATGACCCCTGTAACCCTCCCTGTGGAACTAGTGGTGCTGTCAGATCCATGTATCTGCCATTCTTCAGGGGAAGGGTTTTTTTAATTACTACCTTGTTTATTAAGTTCTTTCTCATACATCCTGTATTCTGAAATGTATTAGTTTATAGCTTTAGCCTGGTGCCTAAGAGCCCTGGCATTTTTGCACTTTTTCAGGAATGTATGGGGCAGAAGGGCCATGTGGATTCCATCACTCGAGAACCAGCAGAAGGATGACCCTGAGAAAATTCCCTTATTACTTTCTCAGAGCGGCCAGTACAAGAACATCTTCATTGGCATTGGGAACCTTCAGTCTCAAAAGACTAAGGTATCGTGCTCTGGAAAGAGATCCTAAAACAGCATCTGGTGTGACTAAAAGGACCAATTCAAGAGTGGCAATCCCTTCCACACTGAGGGCAGATACATTCTGTCCCCTGCCTAGCCCCCAGATTTTGCTGGTTCCTGGACTGCCTCTTTGCCTCAGCCTGCCGAACAAGTGTCTCTTTGAATTGGAGAAGGCCATGCTGCGTCTTTAGCCTCCAAGCTGAATGATCAGAAGTCAAGTTAATGTCCATTCCCAAAGCCTTTAGATCTCTCTTGCAGATATCCTTATATTGCAGCTGTGGTCTCCCTCTAAGGCGCTTTCCCTGCACTAGTTCTCCATATAGGAGATCTTTCAGAATCCGATCATCAGCCATTCTCACGACATGCTCAAGCCAGCATAGATGTCGTTGTTTCAATAGTGTATACATGCTAGAAATTCCAGCACATTCCAAGACTGCACTATTTGGAACTTTGTCATGCCAGGTAATGCCAAGGATATGTCAGAGACAGAGCATATGAAAGGTGTTCAACTTTCTCTCCTGCCATGCGTAAAGGATCCAAGACTCACTGCAGTACAAGAGTGTGCGCAGGACACAGGCTCTATAGACCTGGATCTTTGTATGTTCTGCCAGCTTCTTATTAAGCCATACTCTCTTTGTAAAACCAGAGAATGTGGTGGCCGCTTTACCAATACGTTTATTCAGCTCAGTATCTAAAGAGACAGTATTGGATATGGTTGAACAGAGGTACACAAATTCATGGATGACCTCCAGTTCTTGTGCAGAGATTGTAATACAGGGAGATAAATCCACGTCCTGACCCATGACTTGTGTCTTTTTCAGGCTGATTGTTAGCCCAAAGTCTTGGCAGGTTTTGCTAAAACAGTCCATAAGTTGTTGAAGGTCTTCAGCAGTGTGAGCAGTAACATCAGCATCATCAGCAAAGAGGAAATCTCGAAAGCATTTCAGCTGGACTTTAGACTTTGCTCTCAATCTAGAGAGATTAAAGAGTTTTCTGTCTGATTTAGTCCGGAGATAGATGCCCTCTGTTGCAGTTCCAAAAGCATGTTTCAGCATGACAGCAAAAAAAAGATCCCAAATAAGGTTGGTGCAAGGACACAGCCCTGCTTCACTCCACTTCGAATGTCAAAGGAATCTGAT